TTATTTGGGATTAAAATCAGGCTAGAATGGTTATATCAAACAGTATACTTTATGGTATCAGACAGGCTAATTCCTAGCCAAGTTTGATAACATTATCTATATTTGAGTCAAAAAAGCGCTAGAGCTTTGAATTTGATATTGGAAATCATATAGCAAACTGAGTATATAGACGGATTTGAGAACTGTCCCATAACCCCCAATATGCCCTATATTTCATCAAAATGACATTTCATATTATGTCGATCATTTGATCAGCAAATTTTACTATGAAATTCTACAATCTTGCTGTTATCTTGGATGTTAAGTTTTAGACAAATTAGAATCTATAATGGATTATCGTTCTACATGTAAAGTATTAAACTTAATATGGATAGCAGTTGCTTGTGCAATTCAAATTTATGTTACGGAAAAACAAATAGAAATTTCACAAATAGAAGAAGGAGACAATAACTTACTTAAAGTATAGTATTGTTTCTACAAATGGTATGGCTGGTGGAAAGCTCACCAGGGAGGTATTAGAACTGGAAATACAAATACACAACTTAAATATCTTGCAGCATTTGCTCCATTATTTCCAGCTAGAGGAAAATTAAATTACACCAAATCAACTGTTTATTTTCTTGCTTTACTTGCAAAGTACCAACGACTTAAAGAATTATTGCATTATGCTGGATCAGTTAATTTGACAAAAGAAGGACATTTCTATGCATTTGACGAAGCATTAGAAACTTTTGGAGTGAAATATATCAAACAAAATATTACAGGTAATGTTATTGATAAAGAGAATTTAAAACGTCAAATTAAAGTTGTACAAACCGAAAGAGAAAGAATTGACCTACTTCTTGCTGAATTTATTAATGATAATGTAATGTCACATGGTAAACATTCAATTGATAATCAAAATATAGCCCTTTGGAATTTAATAAAAAATTTGGTAGAAGCCTTTGGTTCAGTTGCTCTATTAGAACATCCTCTTTTTAAGAATAATACCCAATTGAATAATGAAGGATATCAAAAACTATTTAAATATTATAATGCTGGATTAGAGAGATTAAAAAAATTATATAGGCAAGAAATTTTACAACTGGAAGTGGTTAATACTAAAGGAAGAAGAGCCAAAGAAGTAGTGGTTAGCAAAGTTAAAGATTTTATAAAAGCTGGAAAAGAAACAAAAAAGATCGTTAAATCATCAGAAAATTTAATATTACCTGAACAATTATCCTCTCCTTTTGAAGAAATTGTAAGTATTTCAGATACAGATATTGAACATGCCTCTGATTTATCAAAAAAAACTGAAAGTGACATGTCATAAAATGACTCAGCGAGAAAAAGATTTACTAACACCATTATTGACTTCAAATTCACCTACAGAAAAAGAAGTTAAAGAAGTTCTAAAAACATTACTACATTTTTGGGATGGATAGACTAAAAAAAAGTGCAAGATTACTGGAGTCATCACAAACCAAAAAAAAATTAAGTTAGTTGATTAGTTAAAAAATCGAAATATTTACTTATTTATTAAATAAATACCTTAATAATAAAATTTAAAAAATTTTCATTAAGTTATTTTTATTAAAAAATTGGTTTTTTACACTTTATGAAAAATTTATCTGAAAACCTAACTTCAGAACCTTAGAAAATCTTTTTTGTCTCACAAAATTACACATATTTTCACTATTAAAAGTATAGTTTTATTCATACTTTTAAAAGGATCTTAAAAAAGGCTTATTTTTAAGACAAATTTCTCGTATAATGCAAAAAAAAAAAAAATTATATAAAAAAGGAAAATTATATAAGAAACTGGTAGATCACATGAAGATCTATCAAATTACTTAATTAGTATATGCACTGTAAATTAAAATTGACATGTAATCACTTATTGAAGTTACGTCATTGTCATTACACAAAATTTCTTTAATATAAAAATGATTTTCATCTAGACATGTCTGATAACTGCTATGTTTTACTTAGTAAAAAAAGCATTTTCGAAGCCGCAAAGGCGTTTTCTACTATGTTTTACTTAATAAAAAAGCATTTCTGAAGCTGTGAAGGCGTTTTCTACTATATTTTACTTAGTAAAAAGTATTTTCAAAACTGCGAAGGCATTTTATACTATGTTTTACTTAATAAAAAAAGCATTTCCAAAGCTGCAGAGGCGTTTTTTACTATGTTTTTCTTAGTTAATACCATCTCTGAAGCTTTGGAAATGGTTTTACTATTGATTCAAATCAAATCAAATATTTGAATAGTTGATTTGAATTTGATCGAATCGAATCAAAGATTAATTTGGATTTGATCAAATAAATGATTCTTTGATTTGAATTTGATCGAATTGAATCAAATATAAATTTGTATTTGTATTTGATTTGATTTTCAAATCAAATATTCAAATATTAAATCGAATTGCAGAATCCTAGAATTGGTCGAAATGAATACAAATCAGCTAAAAATTAAACAAACGATTGATAAATAATTGATAGCTAATTTATGACTGATTTATATTAATTCTGATTGACACAATATGAGTCAATCAAAAATATCAATCAGTCATTAATCAGCTATCTAAAATTAACTTAAATTTAATTATCAATTAACCTAAATCAGCCTAAAATCAATCAAGCAAATCAGAATTAATAATAACTAATTTATATTTATTTAAATTTTATTAATTTATAATTTTATAATTTCATTATTTTTACATAATTATTAATATACTTGGTATGGTAATTATCTTAATTAAGTATATATGTAATATGTAATTATGATAATTAATTACCATTTTTTTTAAAAAAAAATAATTGCGAAATTAATTACAGGGTGGTAATTATTAAAGGAGTGGTAATTAATACTTATAGACGTAATTAATTACGTAGATAATAATTAGCTTTGAGAAACGTAATTAATTATAGGATGGTAATTAATACTTGTAAACATAATTAATTACAGGAATAGTAATTAATTTCAGATGATTTAATTAATTATAAGGGATATAAATTTTTTAATATATAAGTGTATAAAGTCCCAATTCTCTTTATGTAACCTTTATGCATAAAGATGCGTAATTTCCTTTTATAGTATTCATCATGTAATGTGTGATTAATATCAAGATGTACATTAAATTCAATTTATTTAAAAATTGGAATAAAAAAATATTCTCTCCTTTATTTTACAAAACCAAAATTTTCATATAAAAAATAAAAATTTAAAAGTTCATTTTTAACAAAAATTAATTAATAAACCCAGTATAAAGAAGGTTTCTTTTGTTTTACCCACTTTCTTACTTACGTAAGAGAGTTATGACGCGTAAAAATGCTGCAAAACAAAAAAATAGTGATCCTAAGTTCGTTCTATACGTCACTTCAAAAGCTCTAAAGGAAGCTATTAGTTTTACTCCAGCTTCTTCGTCTTCTTCAACCTCAACTTCTGTCCCCACCAACTTAGATTTAGAAATTGTCCAAGAAGTTTTTGGTTCACTACCAGAAAAAACAATGGAGTTTGAATTTTTTGATATATTTAAAATTGCCACACCCAACAACTTTTCAACAGTTATTCTGCCTTCGAATAATAACAATAATAATAACAAAAAAGTTGATGACATTCCTGAAATTCTTCCTTATCTAAAAATAGGTCAAAACTTTTGGACCCTGATGAATATCTCAAAGACAATGATATAGAAGAAGACCTAAAAGATTTCACGGTTGTTACAAAAGCTACTTCCTTTGTAGTTGCTAGTAATATCAAGTTTACACCTAAAGAAAAGAAAAACAGCAAAATTATTCTCACTATTAATAATGTTTTTGCTCAAAATAACAATTTTTGAGAAGTTTCAGTTTATCACATAAATTTGACGCATTTTGTAATTATCTATTTGTGACGTCAGACGCAGCTGCCGCAGCTTTACATGTGACTATTCCTGATCTTAAGATCAACACTTTCTGTGATTTCTCTCAATACAAAGCTGATATGCAATTCAATAAAAGAACTATTCATGTTACTAATATTCCTTTACAAAAGAAGCCTGCTAATATCAAATAAGTTTTTGCCAAATATGGAACTGTTACTGATTTTAAAATGACAGTAAGTGATATATAGCAACATGCCTATATTACCTACGAAAACTATAAATATATTGAGCTATTTTATCAAGTATGGAGTCGTTTTGTCCAGAATGATTCTGTTCATGTCAATCCTTGCACTTTATTTCCAGAAGAAATCGAATATAGGAATACACACTATATCAAATTGACAAATCTTCATTTTGGTATCTCGGCAAGAGAGAGCTAGTTATATTTCTAGATCCAACAACTATAAGCCTTGTCCTTTTGTTATTTTACATTTTGAAACTGAGGAAGCTCTCAACCATACAACTCAACAAAACTTTACTTTTAGTAATAATCAACTGATGTGGTGTTCTCCTTATGCTAAAAGCTGTCATAAATGTGGCGATCTAGCTCATCTTATTATAAAATGCCCTTTTTACAAAAATCAGTTACACCAAATGATAATGAAGAACCTATTAAACTGAAGACACCCACTCAAAACAATTCAATGCAAAGACTCTACAACAAATATAAATCTGTTAGCTTTAGAAAATTTATAGATACTAATCGATCCAACTGTTCTTCCAAATCTTATTCTGAAGCCATCAAAAATAAGAATACTCCTTCACCTCTATCACCAAAAGATGTTATTAATCTAACTGTGAAGGATTCTGTTCACAATCCGAATAATGAATCAATAATAAATTGGATCAGATTCTCTCAATTCTCTCCAATATGAAAAAGGATATGAACGAACTGGATGCTAGAATCGCTAAACTGGAATCTCTTCAGGCTTCTTCTCCAATGACGTTTACAGTAATTCCTTCAATTATTGTTAGTAAAGAAAAAGATCCATTAACAGTTTCACACGTTTCTCAACTTTCACCTAAACCACAAGATACGTCTAATAAAAGATCTCTTATTACTGGATCTTCAAGTGATGACTCTTCACCCTCACCAATTTTGACCCCAAAATCTGACCTTACTAATATGGTGAATGAACAAGCTGCTATTATTACTGAACAAAAAAGACAGATAGACTTAATATTCAAACAAATTAAACAATTCGCGATGAATGCTAGCCAGTCTCAATAATTAGATATATTCCTTTTTTACATTTTTTAAATGATTAATACAACAAATAATATTCTGTTACCTAATTTTTCCCCACTAATACTATTAATAATGATAATCATTTTTCACCAACAAATATTAATGCTTCTTTACCTTACAATTTACTTTCATCACGTGATCAACTCATCCTTATAATAGATAATGACTTAGAAAATTCACATAGTGATAATAGAGAATTAATCTTAAATAGAAACACCTTCACCTTTGCTACTCATAATATACATTCTCTTCATGATAATGTTAAAAATAGCAAGATACTAGATACTTTTCACCAAAAAAAATTTAATTTTGTTGCTTTATCGGAAACTTGGCATCAATCTTCACAATCTTTTAGATGTTCTTTTGATCCCTTTTTTGATACCTTGTGGAGTTCTGTCTCTAATAAGTTCTCAGACATTGGTTTACTTATCAGCAAATCCTGGTCAAAGCATATTGCTAAAAAATTCTTGGATAATGATCGTTATATTTATGTTGATCTCCATTTAAAAGGAAATATAAAGCTAAGAGTCTTCTCAGTTTACATCCATGCCACTAAATCTAAAGAAAGGAAAGTCCTACAAATAACATTACTATGACTTATAGATAACAGCCTTCAGTCTGCTTTTAACATTATCATCATGGGAGATTTTAATGCAGATCTGATCAAATTATAATGACTCATTGATTCTGGTAAAACCATTCCTTGGAAGTATGATCTTGTACATGGTCTTGTACTTAGGAACTTTTTGGACTTATATGACATTTGTCATAATATACCCTTACCTACATTCAAAAGATCAAATACTTCCAGTCATATTGATGCAATCTTTGCTTTCCAGAATCTTGTAGCTGACTTTTTTTATTATAATATAGTTTATTCGTATTTATACAAATCTGATCACGAGATTGTTATTGCCTATTTTTCCAATATTCAACATGAATCTCAATCTCATTCAAGGAGCATCAATACCAAAAGAAAAGTTCCTCTTCTTAAATCCATGGACTCCTCAAAATGGACAAGCTTTGCTGAATATTCCAATACCTATTACAACAACCACAATTTTGATCGCTTAAAAGATCTCCCATCCAATTATGCAAATATGAATAATCTTTCGATAGAATTGAAAAAAGCTGTTTTGAATATTAGTAAGTCAAAAATTTCTTACAAATGGATCTCTACATAAGACCATGTACCAAAACCAAAAGATCTTTCTCAATACTCACTAAGATCGAAAAAATTCTTCTAAAATTTTAATCCAAAAGATTAAGAGAACGGCTTTGGCCTATTGGTGAAGGATGGAAACATGATCTAAATATTATTGCAAATATTATTAAAGATATCTCCTATCCTTTATACCCTTTGCCTCAATTTTTAAATTTATTAAATGTTAGAGAGATCAAAAAAACTCTCAATTGCATCTATAAAGTCTTATATAAGCTCACTAAAATAGATGTCAGAAAAAATACTGATACACAAATAAAATCACTTATTGGAAAAAGATGCGATCAACTTGGATCTCAACCTGGTAAAATGATAGACTCTATTTTGCAAAGAAAAAAGAGAAAAATTACTTTGGATCGAGTCTTTGTCAACAATAATGATACTTTAAATACTTCACCCTAGATCCTGATGAAATCAAAAAAGTTGTAATCAATCACTTCCAAAATAATGCACTACCATCGACACTCCCAAGATCCTTAAATGGTAGATGACTCTCATCATATCAACCAAAGGATTATGTAGCTGAGAATATTTATGACAATCTTATGCAACCTCCTACATATAATGAATGGTACTCAGTTTTTTTACAATTAGCAAAAGACAAAGCTGCTGGACCTTCAGGTATCCATAATGAAATGTTTCAACATTTAGGAGATAAATTCAAGCACTTAGTTTAACAATTAATCTGCATTTGTTTCACTATTGGTGATACTCCTAGTGAATGGAAAATTGCACATGTATATTCAATTCCTAAACCAATGGAATCAGAATGTAATATTACCAAGACCCATCCAATTACCTTATTAGAAACATTAAGAAAAGCATTTGTCAAAGTTGTTACAAATCAACTCTTAAAGATTCTCGCTAAACATCATGTCCTGAAAGATAACAACTTTGCTGGTTTACCTGGAGGTTCTACAGAAAAACTGATCAAAATTCTAAATATGTTATTAGAAAATGCTAATGAAAACAAAAAAGAGCTTTGGATTCTATTGCAAGACCTTTACAAGGCATATGATCATGTTGATGTAAAATTCCTTCATCTCACCTTACAACATATCAAAATTCCTGCTAAGTATGTAGATCTAATCATCAACCTCTTTACTAATAGAAAAAATGCAATTTTTATAGCCGATGATCTTACTGATTATTATGATATCAAAATTAGTATTGATCAATGAGAAGTTATTTCTCCTTTACTATGATGCATTTATCATGATCCTCTTTTATGTGAAGTAGATGCTCTAAACAAAGAATACAAATATCTCATATATGGCTTAATAACATAATCAGCAATACCACTACAACTCTTTCTGAATTTGTATCATTCTTGGTCTTTATGGATGATACTAACTGAATTGCTAATTCTCAACAAAATTTAGAAGATATTCTTGCGATAGCTGATAATTTTTATGATTTAATTAGGGCTGCTTTGAACAAATCCAAATTAAAGCTTATTATAACAAAGTCTTTTACATTCCCAACCATCAACATTAATTTTGGCTCCTCTACTGTCGATATCACTCCTGAGTTAAATTCTGTAAGATTTCTAGGTATTTGGATTAATTGTTCGAACTATACATGAAATCAAAATGAAAACCCAAAAAGTCAAAATGTTTCAACTTTGGAGGTCAAAGTCGAAATGAAAAGTCAAAATGGTCGAAATTACGTCATATCACATGATTTTTTATATATAGA